GAGGCAGGAGACTCGCTTGAGCCCAGGAGTTGGAGGTTGCTGTGAGCTGTTATGCCACAGCACTCTACCCAGGGGGATAGCTTGAGGTTCTGTCTCAAAAAAAAGAAGCTAGTTCCACTACCAGAGCTAGATTTTTTTTAAAATATTTTATTTTATTTTTATTTTTTTTTTTGCAGTTTTTGGCCGGGACTGGGTTTGAACCTGCCACCTCCAGCATATGGGGCCAGCGCCCTACCCCTTTGAGCCACAGGTGCTACCCCAGAGCTAGATTTTTTGTTGTAGTTGTTGAGACAGAGTCCCACCCTATGCCCCTGAGCAGAGTGCAGTTTATGGGCATCCTGCTGCCTCAGTCTCCAGAAGCCAGGTGGATTACAGGCTCTCGCTATGGTGCCCAGCTGGGTTTTTCCATTTTTTTCATGAGTCGGGGTCTCACTTTCACTCAGGTGAGTCTCAAACTCCTGAGCTCCAGCAATTCTCTTTCCTCAGCCTCCCACAGTGCTGGGATTACAGGCGTGAGCTACTGCACCCCAGCCAGAGCTAGATTTTTTTTTTTTTTTTTTTTTTTTGAGACAGAGTCTCATTTTCTTGTCCTCGGTAGAGTGCCCTGGCAGCGTCGCACGCTCACAGTAACCTCCGGCTCTTGGGCTAAGGTGATTCTCTTGCCTCAGCCTCCCAAGTAGCTGGGACTACAGGCGCCCACCACAATGCTGGGCTATTTTTTTGTTGCGGTTTGGCCGGCTGGGTTTGAACCCGACACTCTCGGTATATGGAGCCGTTGCCCTACTCACTGAACCACAGGCACCACCTCGGAGCTAGATTTTTAAACTCTTCTTTGTGGTGTGTAATATAAATCAAATTTATTTCTAAAGGCCTAAAATATTTTATCCTCAAATCCAGTATCTATAAAAGCTCTGAAAACCAAAAAGTTTCTTAGAACTCATTTATCAACAAAACTTGACCTGACCCACCCTGGATTTGTCAACACAACTCACCTGGGCTGACAAGAGGCTTGTTATGGTGGTTATTTATCACAGTCAGTATAAATATTCACATTTTATGGCAGACACTGGATTGTACTGGTGCAGGAATGTGGATCTGTCTCTTGCCTCTTAGAAAACACATTTAGGGCTCGGCGCCTGTGGCTCAAGCGGCTAAGGTGCCAGCCACATACACCTAAGGTGGCGGGTTCGAATCCCCAGCCCGGGCCCGCCAAACAACAATGACA